TAACAGAGGAATTAAAAAATTATTTATTGGGGTTGGAACTGTGGTGTAATGAGTAAAGTTGCCGCCTGTGATAGTGGCTTCCCATATGGGCATTGGTTCTAGTTCTGGCTGCTCCGCTTCCTATCCAGTTCCCTGCTAACACACCTGGGAAAGCGGTAGAAGATGGCCCAAGTACTTAGGCCCCTATATCCATATGGGAGACCAAGAAGAAGCTCCAGGCTGCTGGCTTCAGCCTGGCCTAACCCTGAGCTTAGATTTAGCAGCCATTTAGGGAGTGAACCAGCAAAAGGAAGATCTCTCTCTCTCTTTCTGTCACTCTTCCCCCCTTATCTCTCTTTTCCTATGTCACTCCCTCTCTCTGTAACTCTGGCTTTCAAATAATTAAAATAAATATTTAAAAATAAATAATAAAATTTAAAAATTATTTATTTGAGAGACAGATAGAAGCAGATAGAAATTCATTCACCATGTGCTGTGATGGCTGGGCGAGGCCAAAGCTGGGAGCCCAGAATGCAATCCAGCTCTCCCATGTGGGTAATAGGAACCCTATTGCTTAAGCCATCGCCATTACCTATCAGAAGCCCTGTGGCCAGGACGCTGGAGTCAGGGACAAGAACTTGGTATCCAACCCAGGTACTCTGATGGAACCTAACCATCTTAACTGTCATCAGAACTGCTAAAACATCCTCTGATGAAATATTCTTTTTGTGAAGAAATGATACATTAGTAAAGACAAAATTTAATAGTATTCCAAAGAATAAATCAATATAAATTTCAATTCTTAATGAATAGCAAGTTTGTTAATGTGCAGACATTAAATTTTTAGGACCATGTAGAATTCCATTTCTTTAACAATTTATTTTGGAATATTTTCAAATTTACGAAACAAAAATTTTAAAGTACTAGAATTAAGAGTTTCCTTATACACAACTTCCCATTTCTCCTAATATTAACATATCACATTAGTATTGTATATTGTTCGCAATAGTGAACCAGTTGCCCCTATTTTTATGCCAATTCTTTCTTTTGCAAAAAAATTAAAAACAAGTCATTTGATAATATTTGGGTAGGAGACAGAGAGAAAGGTCTTCCTTTTGCCATTGGTTCACCCTCCAATGGCTGCTGCGGCTGGCATGTTGCGGCTGGCGCACTGCGCTGATCCGATGGCAGGAGCCAGGTGCTTCTCCTGGTCTCCCATGGGGTGCAGGGCCCAAGGACTTGTGTGGGGAGCAGCTCGGACTAGACTGTTACTGGAATTAAGACTTATTCTATGCATCTGCTCTCCCACAATATGGCGCTGGGAGAGAAGTAAACAGCTTCCGCACAGCTGCCTCCAGTTCAACCAATTAACTGTAGGACTTGCTCCTGATTGGAGGAGAGCAGCGTACTCGGCGTGTGGGCAGCCGAGTTGGGATTGGCGGAGGAGGACTATAAAGGAGGAGAGAGACGGCATGCACCAGTAACATCTATGGGGAACATCTAAGGGAACCCGTGCCGCTCCCCTGCGGAAGTGGGGAATGCGGCCAGGGGGAACTGCCCTTCCACGGAGGTGGAAGGGATAGTAGCCAACCCGGGAAGAACCAGCAGCAAACCCAGGGAGGGCCGAGCAGACGAAAGAACAGCGCAGGGTTCTGTGTTGCTCCTCCACGAAGAGGGGGAGCGACATAATGGTGCCGTGACTCGGATATGAAGCCTAGGCAGGGTCCTGTGTCGTTCCTCCACAAAGAGGGGGAGCGACAGACTTGGGCCATCCTCCACTGCACTCCCTGGCCACAGCAGAGAGCTGGCCTGGAAGAGGGGCAACCGGGACAGAATCTGGCGTCCCCACCGGGACTAGAACCCGGTGTGCCGGCGCCGCAAGGCAGAGGATTAGCCTAGTGAGCCGCGGCGCTGGCCCGGTACCTAATGTTAATATAATGACAGATGGTGAATCCTTTTGGATTCTTAACATGATAGCAGTTTGACCTGATGAAGTTGAAATTCATTAACTCAAAGAGGGTCAACTAGCCAGACAGAGATGTGAAAAACTGATATTGTGCTTTCTGTATAACTGATACCACTTAGAATAAATATTATAAAACAATAAAATAAAATAGTTATGATCTCTTTCAAAAGAGGCAGTATCTTAGCACATCTCTAAATGTCCATTCATCATTCAGGCCCACTGTTTTCTATCCATTTACTAATATACACTATGAATAATAAAATAAAGGTACTTGTAAAAACAATTGATAATAGCCTCAAGAACAGCGTCCCTTCTTTAAATATAGGTTCCCAAATAGAACAATATCCTGAAATCCCAACATTTGGGTTTATATAGCATACAAAGTTTCAGTGGCAACTTAGTTATTGGCATAATTGTAGTAAGTTACTTACTGATTTGGTAAAGAGGATATTGATATGTGTGACTAAAATAAGAGGAAGAAAGATGCTAAAGAATATAAAAGCTGAAGACATTGTCTAGATTGCTTTTGTCTCTAACATGAATTTTTTTGAAAGAAAAAGATTTCTAAGTACTATCAGTACCAGATCAATTTTTTAATTACACTATCAGGTATTTAAAATCATGAAATGAGATAAAAATATTCTACCATAATAGGATATACATTAACATGTAATGTTTCAAGCATATAAATATGGCAAAATCCAACATGATTCAAGCATTAATGTAATAGATTTTAAATAATTTAAAGTTGTATTATGGTATGCCTTAGATATTGTTTACTCATAAAATTATGAGGTTTTTATTTCATGGTCATTTACAGACTTTCTTATTTTGTTTTTCAGGACCATGGATCATAATTTACTATTTTAAAAAGATAATTTTAAATCAGATCCATTATTTTCTGTGGAATTACTAGAATATAATGAAAATACAATAAAGAAAAAGTTACTATATTCTTTATTTATGACTGTACATACTAATATTAAGCTTGTTTCAAAATATTGTGCTTATACAATGCATATGCTTAACTGTATCTAGCACACCTTTTGAATTTGGCACATCTATACTGACTTGCAATACTCTTTCTCAGTTATTCTGCTACATGTCTCTAAGTACTGCAACTTTTCATTTATAGCCTACACAATGAAAAGTTTTCATTAGTCAACTGACAATATAAAATGTGAGTCAATAAATCAAATTGAAATACCAGTGTTAAAACAATTATTCAGATAATACAGAAATTGCTTATATTCATTTTAAACTAGCATTTAAAAATTACATAATATTTAAAGGCTCATAGACTTTTTTGGAAGCAGTAACATACATAAATAAGAAAATATTTTCTATAAATTAGATAAATGTGTTGTGTCTTTATCTAAGATTTCCAGATATAACAGGTACATAAAGTATTCATATCCATTTTCATACATCTCTGTTTCAGTCTACACTTTAGAGGTTTGACTACAGAGTTATTCTTGCTCAGAATATCCTGGGGGAAAGTTAATTAATTTATCAAGTATTCACTCAGTGCTTAATATGATCCTGGAAACTTTGGAATATTAAAGCATTAAACATTTTAATCACCTCAGCTGAACTTTCAGGCTTAGAAATCATTTTAAATTTTAACTCCTAGAAGCTTAACTATGATTTATCATTTGTTCTTTGATGGAATAATTTTTCTGTGTTCCAGAAATTAAAGTTCCTGAACTCCTCTGAGGAAAGACTTTTGGCAGTTAAATTTAATTTTTTGTTTGTTTTGTGTGGTAATATCATCCTCATTAGATAACAGTCTAGCCATCATAACATACATGGAAAAGTAGTATGTTTGTAAGAAGACAGAGAATGATAGCACAAGTAGTATACATTTTTGCTTCCGCATCTAAAATAATATATATACACAAACTGATCAACATGCAAAATGCTCACTATATAATTACTATTTTTCTAGTGAAATAAAATGAAACTCTTTCCAAATACTTGATACCTACATTATGGGAAGATTACAAGATAGTGGTTATATTTATACACATCACACGGATACTAAATATTAGAAATATTGTCTCTTTGGTAGACAGTTTCCTCGAAGATTGATCAGAATATTTTCCACCTTGCATTCTTTTTTTTTTGTTTGTTTTTTTGTTTTTGACAGGCAGAGTGGACAGTGAGAGAGAGAGACAGAGAGAAAGGTCTTCCTTTGCCGTTGGTTCACCCTCCAATGGCCGCCGCGGCCGGCGCGCTGCGGCCGGCGCACCGCGCTGATCCGATGGCAGGAGCCAGGAGCCAGGTGCTTTTCCTGGTCTCCCATGGGGTGCAGGGCCCAAGCACTTGGGCCATCCTCCACTGCACTCCCTGGCCACAGCAGAGGGCTGGCCTGGAAGACGGGCAACCGGGACAGAATCCGGCACCCCGACCGGGACTAGAACCCGGTGTGCCAGCGCCGCTAGGCGGAGGATTAGCCTAGTGAGCCGCGGCGCCGGCCCAACCTTGCATTCTTTTTTGAGATGTAAGTTAGCTCATCAAATGAATTGGATTATTTATTCTCTCCTTGAATATCTCTGATCTTTGTGTATGTTTTAATAGCATATTGTGGAAGTGATTGCCATGGTATGAATGTGTTCTTTCTAAAAATCAGATGCTGATTTTTTTAAAGGATTTATGTACTTAGTTGATAGGCATAGTTACAGAGAAGCAGAGAGAGAGAGAGAGAGAGAGAAAGGGATCGTTCATCTGCTCTCCAAATGGAAGAACTGGATCTATTCGAAGCCAGGAGCCAGGAGCTTCATCTGTGTCTCCCACGTGGGTACAGGGGCCCAAAGACTTGGACCATCTTCTACTGCTATCCTAGGCCACAGCAGAGAGCTGGATTGGAAATGGAGCATCCAGGACTCGATCCAGTGTCCACATGGGATGCCAGCACTGCAGGTAGCAGCTTTACCATCTAAACCATAGTGCTGGCCCCCAGAGGTTGAAAATTAAAAGCCAATGTGATGGTACTGAGAGGGGGTTTCCTTAACATGTAATTATTTCCTGAGGGCTCCTCCCTCATGAATGAGAGGAAGGATGCAGGGGCGGCCTGCATCGCTGTCTGGCCTGCGCGAGGTACTTCATTGACTCCGCCAACCTGAAGACCCACTTCCGGTCCAAAGACCACAAGAAAAGGTATGGAGGAGAAAGAAGAGGATTGACGGCTGGGTGCCCGACAGGCAGGGCATGCATCTGACCAGCTCCCAACTCCTTTCTCCCAGGCTGAAGCAGCTGACCGTGGAGCCCTACAGTCAGGAAGAGGCAGAGAGGGCGGCGGGCATGGGCTCCTACATGCCCCCCAAGAGGCTGGCGGTGCCCGCAGAGGTGTCCACTGAGGTTCCTGAGATGGACACGTCTTCTACGTGACAGGGCCTGCAGCTGCGGGGCCTGCATGGACAGTGACACGAGGGCTGGTCTGGGAGAGAGATCCAGCCACTCGGGTTTGGGAAGTGACCGCTCTCTGGGTGTTCTCCCCAAATAAAGGAACTGGACAAAGAAAAAAAAATCTGTAATTTTAATTATATTTATAATATTTAATTATAATTAATCTATATCTTATAGAAGTTGGAAATTAGCAACTCAGGAATCCCTAGAGCATATGAAAACACATGGAGATTGAACAACATGCTCCTGAATGAACAATGGGTCATAGAAGAAATCAAAAGAGAAATCAAAAACTTTCTGGAAGTAAATGAGGATAACAGCACAACATACCAAAACTTATGGGACGCAGCAAAAGCAGTGTTAAGAGGAAAGTTTATATCAATAGGTGCCTACATCAAGAAACTGGAAAGGCACCAAATAGATGAGCTTTCAATTCACCTCAAGGATCTAGAAAACCTACAGCAAACCAGACCCAAATCTAGTAGGAGAAGAGAAATAATTAAAATCAGAGAAGAAATCAACAGGATTGAATCAAGAAAAACATTACAAAAAATCAGCCAAACGAGAAGCTGGTTTTTGAAAAAATAAACAAAATTGACACCCCATTGGCCCAACTAACTAAAAAAAGAAGAGAAAAGACCCAAATCAATAAAATCAGAGATGAAAAAGGAAACGTAACAACAGACACCACAGAAATAAAAAGAATCATCAGAAATTACTACAAGGACTTGTATACCAGCAAACAGGGAAACCTATCAGAAATGGATAGATTCCTGGACACATGCAACCTACCTAAATTGAACCAGGAAGACATCGAAAACCTAAACAGACCCATAACTGAGACAGAAATTGAAACAGTAATAAAGGCCCTCCCAACAAAGAAAAGCCCAGGACCAGATGGATTCACTGCTGAATTCTACCAGACATTTAAAGAAGAACTAACTCCAATTCTTCTCAAACTATTCAGAACAATCGAAGAAGAGGGAATCCTCCCAAATTCTTTCTATGAAGCCAGCATCACCTTAATTCCTAAGCCGGAAAAAGATGCAGCACTGAAAGAGAATTACAGACCAATATCCCTGATGAACATAGATGCAAAAATCCTCAATAAAATTCTCGCCAATAGAATGCAACAACACATCAGAAAGATCATCCACCCAGACCAAGTGGGATTTATCCCTGGTATGCAGGGATGGTTTAATGTGCGCAAGACAATCAATGTGATACACCACATTAACAGACTGCAGAAGAAAAACCATATGATTATCTCAATAGATGCCGACAAAGCATTTGATAAAATACAACACCCGTTCATGATGAAAACTCTAAGCAAACTGGGTTTGGAAGGAACATTCCTCAATACAATCAAAGCAATCTATGAAAAACCCACAGCCAACATCCAATTGAATGGGGAAAAGTTGGAAGCATTTCCACTGAGATCTGGTACCAGACAGGGATGCCCACTCTCACCACTGCTATTCAATATAGTTCTGGAGGTTCTAGCCAGAGCTATTAGGCAAGAAAAAGAAATTAAAGGGATACAAATTGGGAAGGAAGAACTCAAACTATCCCTCTTTGCAGATGACATGATTCTTTATTTAGGGGACCCAAAGAACTCTACTAAGAGACTATTGGAACTCATAGAAGAGTTTGGCAAAGTAGCAGGGTATAAAATCAATGCACAAAAATCAACAGCTTTTGTATACACAGACAATGCCATGGCTGAGGAAGAACTTCTAAGATCAATCCCATTCACAATAGCTACAAAAACAATCAAATACCTTGGAATAAACTTAACCAAGGACGTTAAGGATCTCTACGATGAAAATTACAAAACCTTAAAGAAAGAAATAGAAGAGGATACCAAGAAATGGAAAAATCTTCCATGCTCATGGATTGGAAGAATCAATATCATCAAAATGTCCATTCTCCCAAAAGCAATTTACAAATTCAATGCAATACCAATCAAGATACCGAAGACCTTCTTCTCAGATCTGGAAAAATTGGTGCTGAAATTTATATGGAGGCACAAGAGACCTCGAATAGCTAAAGCAATCTTGTACAACAAAAACAAAGCCGGAGGCATCACAATACCAGATTTCAGGACAGACTACAGGGCAGTTGTAATCAAAACAGCATGGTACTGGTACAGAAACAGATGGATAGACCAATGGAACAGAATTGAAACACCAGAAATCAACCCAAACATCTACAGCCAACTTATATTTGATCAAGGATCTAAAACCAATTCCTGGAGCAAGGACAGTCTATTCAATAAATGGTGATGGGAAAACTGGATTTCCACATGCAGAAGCATGAAGCAAGACCCCTACCTTACACCATACACAAAAATCCACTCAACGTGGATTAAAGACCTAAATCTACATCCTGACACCATCAAGTTACTAGAGAACATTGGAGAAACCCTTCAAGATATTGGCACAGGCAAAGAATTTCTGGAAAAGACCCCGGAGGCACAGGCAGTCAAAGCCAAAATCAACTATTGGGATTGCATCAAATTGAGAAGTTTCTGTACTGCAAAAGAAACAGTCAGGAGAGTGAAGAGACAACCGACAGAATGGGAAAAAATATTTGCAAACTATGCAACAGATAAAGGGTTAATAACCAGAATCTACAAAGAGATCAAGAAACTCCACAAAAACAAAACCAACAACCCAATTAAGAGATGGGCCAAGGACCTCAACAGACATTTTTCAAAAGAGGAAATCCAAATGGCCAACAGGCACATGAAAAAATGTTCAAGGTCATTAGCAATCAGGGAAATGCAAATCAAAACCACAATGAGGTTTCACCTCACCCCGGTTAGAATGGCTCACATTCAGAAATCTACCAACAACAGATGCTGGCGAGGATGTGGGGAAAAAGGGACACTAACCCACTGTTGGTGGGAATGCAAACTGGTCAAGCCACTATGGAAGTCAGTCTGGAGATTCCTCAGAAACCTGAAGATAACCCTACCGTTCGACCCAGCCATCCCACTCCTTCGAATTTACCCAAAGGAATTTAAATTGGCAAACAAAAAAGCGGTCTGCAGCCTAATGTTTATTGCAGCTCAATTCACAATAGCTAAGACCTGGAACCGACCTAAATGCCCATCAACGGTAGACTGGATAAAGAAATTATGGGATATGTACTCTTTAGAATACTATAGCGCAGTAAGAAACAACGAAATCCAGTCATTTGCAACAAAATGGAGGAATCTGGAACACATCATGCTGAGTGAAATAAGCCAGTCCCAAAGGGACAAATACCATATGTTCTCCCTGATCGGTGACAACTGACTGAACACCAAAAAGGAAACCTCCTGAAGTGAAACGGACACTATGGGAAATGGTGACTTGATCAGCATAGCCCTGACTGTTAATGAACAACTTAATACATTATCCCTCTAAGTAGTTTTTTTGTCTGTTCTACTTAATATGACGGTTTAATTCTGTAATTAATGCACAGTTATTCTTAAGTGTTGAGAATTAACTGAAATGTGATCCTGGTTGAACATGGGAGTGGGAATAGGAGAGGGAAGAGATGTATAATTTGGGACATGCTAAAGCTGACTTGCCCCAAATGGTGGAGTTGGAAACATACCAGGGGATTCCAATTCGGTCCCATCAGGGTGGCATGTGCCAATGCCATCTCACTATTCCAAGTGATCAATTTCAGTTCACAATTGATCATAATGAGAGGACTGGGAGTCAAGGGGAGCACATAAACAAGTCTAGTACCTGCTAACACTAACCGATGGAATAGATAAAGGGGAGAGTGGTCCAACATGGGAAGTGAGGTGCTCAGCAGACTCATAGAATGGCAGATGTCCTAAATAGCACTCTGGCCTCAGAATCAGCCCTAAAGGCATTCGGATCTGGCGGAAAAGCCCATGAGAGTATTTCAGGCATGGAAAGCCAAGACACTCTGGCAAAAGATCTCTGCGAGTGGGATCCCAGTGGAAAGAACAGGTCTTCAAAGAAGGAGGTGCCTTTCTCTGAGGGGAGGAGAGAACCTCCACTTTGACTATGAGCTTGTCTAAACAAGCTAAGAATCGGAGAACTCAGAGGGCTTCCATAGCCTTGGAAACTCATGACCGGAGCATAGGGAGACTACTGATGCCATAGACAGGAGTGTCAATTGGTAAAGTCAGCAACAGGAGTCACTGTGCACTTGCTCCTCATGTAGGATCTCTGTCCTTAATGTGCTGTGTGTTGAGATTTAGTGCTATAACGAGTACTCAAACAATATATTTCACTTTGTGTTTTTATGGGGGTGCAAACTGTTGAAATCTTTACTTAATGTATACTAAACTGATCCTCTGTAAAAAAAAAAAAAAAAAAAAATTATCAACTCCCAACTTGACTCTCACTGGGATTAAACATGACAATAGGTCTGATCTGATTTCATCATCATTTAAAAAAATCATCTATTATTTTTCACTTTATGTTTCTGTGTGAGAGCAAACTGTTGAAATCCTTACTTAATGTATACTAAGCTGATCTTCTGTATATTAAGATAATCGAAAATGAATCTTGATGTGAATGGAAGGGGAGAGGTAGTGGGAAAGGGGAGGGTAGTGGGTGGGAGGGACGGTATGTGGGGGAAGCCATTGTCATCCATAAATCGTACTTTGGAAATTTATATTCATTAAGTAAAAGTTAAAAAAAATCTGTAATTTTAATTATATTTATAATTAATTTAATTATATTTATAATATTTAATTATAATTAATCTATATTTTATAGAAGAGACTTCATTTAGCCCATTAATTTGCTTGCCCTTTTGCCTTTTGCCATGTGAAGACACAGGATTTCTTCCCCATGCTATACTACGGCAAGGCACCATCATAGAAGCAAAAAGTAGCTCTCACCGGACAACTGACACTACCAGTGTCTTGATCTGGAACTTGGCAGCCTGCAGTACCATAAGAAAATAAATACCCAGTTTCAGATTCTTTGTTACATCAGCAGAAGTGAAATGAAGTTTTGCATAACAGCTGCCTAATTGGGGCCTGTGTTGTGGTGTAATGGGTTAAGCCACTGCCTGGAATGCTGGCATCCCATATGGGTGCCATAGAGAGACTCAGCTGCTCCCCGTCCCATCCAGCTGCTTGCT